TGTAGAGAAAGAACTCCACGTCATCTGAAACATTCTAAACCAGAATTTCATCAAAACCAACATATATTACAATAATCGTTAACATGAACTGGCAACGATGGAGACAAAGCCTCTGTTTTTACATCTACAATTCAAGGGAGATACCCCTTAGGAGATTCGATCGTAAGGTTTAACCAGAGCGATAAAGAAAACTTTCTAATCTGCACACCTGTGTCTATCCTTCAGTAGCTGTCCAATGTTCACCTAGCAACTCAAAGATGTCTTAACTAACCTTAGATCTTCTTCATGGATATACCATTTCAACTGTTCCTGTAGTTCAAATTATATAGGGCGCACAGTTAGACAGGTTCGTCTACAGGTTCGAGAAGATTTTTACTAGCTTGGTTCAGCAGGGAAGAGGGGAAATTAAGTGTATAAAAAGCTCGATCCTGTCACACTTGGTCGGTACGTCAACGTCAAAACAGCTTTCAGGGTTATATACCGAATTCTCAAGTCGTTATCACGTACAGTTTGCTTACGTCTCCTACACATAGCTGAAGCTGTTGCAATAAGATCGACTAAACCGGAACTTTGTATCCAACAAGAACACGTCCAGACGCTGTTCCTGCCGTGGCCAAACTTGGATTGATGATTTTTCTTCTCACCAAGAGCGCTTCCCCTAAACCCTCTTGGTTTTCTTTCTTTGCTTATTATTACAATTATTATTATTACTATTATTGTTACTAATATTATTCTTCATAATTTATGCCCTTCATGCAAACACTCTCTAAATACTATCGAATTTTCCATTTATACTATCCGGACTTATTATTAGTGATATCATCTCTTCTATCAATATATGCCTCCACCTGTTTCGTTTCACATATTCGCTATTTTGACGATGAACCCCTCATTACAATCTTACTATATCCTCTTCAATACATACCACTTTGTACTAGCCACTCACCATACACCTTTTATAACCTTGAACTGACTTGTCACTTTTCATACCCGACATTCTGCGAATCTTTTATGACTAATCACCACCAATGCCTCCCATTTCACAATATTTTGCAATCGATTTCAGCCTAGCACGATGTTTGTCACCCAAATACGACTATTTATTTTGACACCCCATAAATACTAATCTGTTATTCTACATTAAAAGTGTATCCACTGGATAACTGGCCATTATTGTAATGACAACAAGTATTATATTTTATAATTGCGTTACAACCTGAAGTAGAGAAATTATTGAGAAGAATATTCTTCGTTCAGACTGGCCTTTATTTGATAAGCGAGAACATGAATTTATATAAAAGTAATAATTATTATTTTACTTTACGCACAATGCACAAAGTCAGTCAAATGGTATACGAATTATTTAGGTTAAAAATATGAAGAACTTTTGAGTTGTTAGTGAATCGATATTAAGTGAAATTCACCGGTCATCGAATTCTAGCCCAAGTGACTGAATCGTCAACTCTCTTAGATTTATAACCTAAAGTTCCGTTTGGTGACCCAGTAGTGGGAGGAGGGCGTGGGTGTTCATTGACGAAGAGTCCCAAATTGGGAAGGAACACCTTCCCAGTGCTTCCGGCTTTTTATTAGTTGTCAAGTGATGTTAGTTCGTGACGAAATCTACATTAAATATTGAGCTGGTAATCACGAGAGTATAGCCTTCAGAAAGTGATAGAAGGGTAGAAGAAAAGCAGTCCACAACATTGGTTAATCAATATTTGAATAAGTTGTTATATAACACTAGTTTTGCCTATAAAATTCAAGGATACCTTTATTGTCTCGGTCTCTTTTGGCGTACTACTACGAGCTTTTTGTATTTTATCGCAGCGTTTGTGAATTTAGTTTTCAAAGGTGACTTTGCGGGGGTTTGATCAGTTTCAAGTTTCACCATGGATTGATATAACTAAGAGAACCAGTGAGGATCAGATAGTAATGCAAAGTTGATTTCTGACCTTAGTTTGGAACTCTTCAGCGATACTCACCGACTGGGGTTCAAACCTAAGACCTGCCAGTTACACGACCAGGTCGTAAACTATTCGGCTACTGGAACTGGTTTCAAGGGTTCTTTAACTGATATTTATTATTATTTCCTTTAATTCCTACAGGAACATAGGGCTTCAGCCGCCCAAGTCTCCACTGCGTTAGGTTCTCTACTAAAGTTTTCGCCTTGCTCCAAATCTGCCCGCATACTTTTATCTCCTCTTCACATGACCTCCTGCAAGTCACCCTCGCACTGACGACCAACTCGCCACTTCCCTTTCGGGTTTCACTCGAGCGATGGATTGTCTAGTAATGTCACCTGATGCTTTCCTCAGCGTATGGCCAATCCATCTCCATTTCTTCCAGCTTGTTTGTTTCACAATCGGTTCCTGCTGGGTTGGTTCGCTCATTGCCAGGGATCCCTGTTGCTAATCTTTTCTGGTCATCTGATATTTATCGGTAGTCGACATTAAAACAAATGGAATCCCTACAAACTAACTTTAGAAAAATAATCTGATGCTCACTAGTGACTAGCTGCAGATCGAAGCTGTCTGGTGTTCCACTGAGAAGTCTAGACCAGTGGGGTTTGTCTGGTCACCGTCGATGACATCGGATGGTGCTAGTCAAGCTAAGATCATGAATAAGTAGAAGTAAGAATTCATGGACTATCCATGGAGTCAGATCCCACCGTTTTATATATTTTTTTGATTACAGCTTGACTCCACACCGTATTTTGGGTATAGGTATGGAATTTTTAGCATGGATATCAGCAGGCCAAATTTTGATGGCCGACCATAGATATCAGGTGTACGTTGGCAGGGGATTGAACCTCGGACCATGTGCATGGTTGGCGAGAGTCCTAACCACTGTGCCACCGACGCACATTGAATGGTCCATGAGTTTGACTTGTAACCGGAAGTTCCTGGGTTTGAATCGTGGTGGGTGAGTATTCCTTATAAGTCCCAAACTAGGAAGAGGCAGTTCAGTACTTCTTGGTTTTTTAACTGATATTCATCTGTGATCAGATGAGAAATTTAGTTTTTCTGTCAGCCTTGTCGATGGGAGGTTAAACAGTAAAATATCCCCGTCAGTTAACTGTCTTTTATTCTTGTTTTTCGTATGGCGGTTATATTGTCTTTATGCTAGGTGGATTTGTGATCATTTTCTAGTTTGATCACGGATTGATACCATTTAGAGAACTACTGAAAACCAGAGAGTACTGGACAGCTATTTGATCCTAGTTTGGGAATCATCGGCAGTAGGTATCCACTGGGGTTTAAATTCAGGACCTTCCAGTTGCAAGCCAAGCTCGTGGACTATTCAGCCATAGGGACCTGACTCAAAGGCCAGTCGACGAATCATAAATTCTACTTAATCGTGATTTTAGCGCGACTAGCTCCAGCCAATGTCCTTACTGGTGACTGGATGAACCCCGCTGATCACGATTTCCCACTAGAACTTTAGTAAGCTTCATTCTGTTGTTAATAAATAATGAACATCGGAATAATTTTCAAGAATTAATTTGTGGGGATTTCCAATCTGTTTTTCACTTACTGGAAAATACAAAATCTTTCTTTGTAGCGAAGCAGATTCATTAGGGCATAGCTTGCTACCGATCGTGTTAATATTAAGCCATAACACAGTCTCCAGTGAAAATGACGTCGATACTCCGTTGATGGTGGTTAGGACTCGTGCCGACCATGCACATGGTCCGATGTTCGAGCCCCCGCCGACGCACACCTGATATCTATGGTCGGCCTCCAAAATTTGGGCTACCGATATCCATACTGAAAATTCCATACCTGTACCAAAAATACAGTATGGAATCAAGCTGTAATCAAAAATAAAAAAAAAATAAAAAATAAATGTGTATGTGGTAACAGTCAAGATTAATTACTGCATATATGCATACACTCAAATTCAGTTAACTAGAAATAAATACTTCTACATGTTGGCTTGATCTCTGAGATTCACATCTTAACGAGAACATAATCACTTACTACGAATGCAAAGTACATTCACCTGAAGAATGAACCCCGTTACAAGAAAAAATGCATATCCTGGACTCCTGATAGTTAGCGACTATTGATTAAGTAGAATTATGTAAATTTCAAGGCGCTGGTCAAAGCATCTTTCTCCGGTAACGGAAATGTCAACCAACAGAAATCGAACATTATATAGTTGGAAGCAGCGTTGTCTTACCTATGTTTCGTGCCAGTTGGCACTCACTAGTCAGCAAGGCGTATCTACAACCCTGAAGAAAGGGACTCATGTCCTTGTTCTGAGATTCGAACCCGCGTCATCCACTGCCATCTACAGTCATCAAATCAATGTACACCATGATGGCGAACCACCTTGTGGCATAGTGGCCACATTGCAAACCTGACTGACTGACTGACTGATAGAATTCAGTCTGCACTAAAGAGTCAAAGGACTAATACACACTTCACCCTAATTACTAGTGTCCAATCAAAAGCAATTGAATATTTCAATCCAGAATCCATTAACCAACACAGAATTCACTATAACTTCAAAAACAAAACACAAAACAAAACAAAAATATTTATAAAATGTTTACTGATTGACAGTGTTTTTCATCTGATTTCAATTAGGTTAAAAGATGAACAAATAAACCTATTCATGTAAAACAAAGTGAATTTGTTCTTTTCAATAAAAATAATAATAATTCTTTCAGTTCAATGTTTCAATACTTATTATAAGTAAACAAATCGCATGAAGTGTACTTATTCTTTTGTTCAATATTCAACACTACTACTCCTTGTTCAATAACGACAATAACACCAGTCATTCAAACATGATCTAGGCAAAATATATATACAGAAAAAAGATCAGCTGACGACTACATTCAATTATCTCCTTCTTGTACAGTTTTCCCTTATTGTTTTTGTTTTCATCTAATAATAAATTTTGATTTCATTCAGCCAGTGAGTGAGTGAGTGACTGAGTGAATTGAGTGTTGTTCATTTCTTCTATTCTGATGCCTTTCTTTCTCTCAATAGTGTTCATCTCAAGAACGAGCTGTTTCAAGGACACCAGCAAAGACAATCAATACACATTCAAATAATAATAATAATATTCATAATTACGATAATAATAATAATCATAACAGCCTTAACAACCGGAAACAGAAAAATGATTATGATAATCAAATTGATGGTAGAAGTCGATGGATATTTAATTCAGAAAGGCAAAAATCCCCCCGACATGAAAATAGAACAAATAGAATAATGAATATTGATGGTATTTATGATACATTAATGCATAGACAAGATATGTCTATGCATAAACCACGATCTAAATCAAAACGTTTCAATCGAGAGGAAAGAATACAGTTGGAAATGAATGATACACTGTTGTCACGATCTGCTTCTGCACATCCTATTTTAGTGAATCCACCACAATTACCACCAAAGGTATATAAGGTGAGTTAATTATTTCTTCGATGTCCTGATATACTATGATATTATTATTGTTAGTTTTTTGAGATCTGAGTGGAAAATTAGTCTTCAGGGTTATTATTATTATTATTATTATTATTATTATTAATAGAGCTTCAATAACACATCTCCACTTTGTTCTGTTCTCTGCGGTCCCTTTTTAACTGACTTTAAGATCACTCATATTAATCTCGTCACTCTTCAGTCGTCGTTTCCGATTCGGCTTCCATTCAAGTGATGACCTGCTGCACGACGTCATTCTATAGTCTCCCCAGTGTGTGTCTAATTCATTTCCATTTCCTTCTACATATTTTTTGAGCAGTAGGGTTCTTCATTGATTCTTTCCCGAAGTTTCTTGTTGCTCATTCTCTCCGATAGGCCATCTGATCTTTACTATGGAGCCAGAGAAGTGGGCAGCTATTGATAATAGCCTGGAGCTAGCTGTTGGAAATTCTTATCGTGAAGGACGCTCCAAGCGACTGATTGACTGACTTACTTAATTAACATTGGTGTTGAAAATTCGAATTTTGTGGTTTGTGTTGAGGCGGAGTGAAAGCTTCCTGGACTGATTTCTGAGTGATGAAGGCCTGTGTTGCCTATTTAATTCTGCCTAGTGTTGGCATTGTCATTCGTGGAGTCAGCAGTATTTGAAATGACGGTGCCTAGGTAAGTGAAGGAATTTTCCTCGCTGATCGTGATTGGTGCTTGTTGTTTTTGGTCGGCTGGTTATTTTTTCATCATCTCTGCCTTTTCAATGTTACCTTGAAGTCCTGTCTCTTTTGCTTCTTCTGCCAGTTTGTTGGTTTTCGCTTGTAAGTCTTCTAGTTTGTTTGACATCACTACAATAATTTTGGCCTGGTGTTTAAGAATATTTTGCAGTGTTTCGTGGTTGGAAGCAATTAGAAGGAACCTCTAGACCGTTATTTTGCGCTTATTGATTATTCGTAAGTAAAGAATATCTGCAAAGTCGAAGGAACCCTATTCTCTGCGGATATTTGATCGTGTGTTACTTAGGGAACACCAGTTCTTTTGAGGTTGTAGATTTGTTTTGCTGATAAGTGTTAACAAACACGAAACCTAGTTCCTGGATCTTTTCGCACATGTTGAGTCTCGCTGTAAACTTGAATGATTGAATTTAATCAGACCGGGAACCAAGTGTATGCTGGTATTTATCCCTTAATGAGCAAACCAATGTATATTTGCTGTATTTTGGCAATTAAGTTTTGAAAAAAAAAGTTTTGGTTCAACTACAAATTACAACACTCTGGAGAACCTCAAGTTTTTTTTATCAACCTCATCCAACAGCTTGCTATATGATAATGTTAAGTGTTGGGTGATCGATCCATAACGGAAAACTCAGAGAGGTGTTCGAAGTGCATACATGAGTAAGACAAGGCTGGCTGCCTATTATCACCCACGATGATATTCATGATAATGGTGGACTGGATTATGCCGAAGACTGTCCTTGGAAGCAAGGAGACAGGAATACTCTGGACGACCGATAAAAGGACTCTAGAAGATCTGGATTTCACAGATGATATATGTCTAATATCATACAAATTCAAAGATTTGCAGGTAGGCAAAAACCAACAAACTGGTAGAAGACGCTAGCAGGCAGAGAAGACAGGACTTCAGGTGAACATAGAGAAGATTGAGGGGGTGAAGATAACCAACCAACGAACAGCAGCAACAACAACAACAACAACAATAACCAGCACTAATCACCATCAACGGGAGAGATTTAACAGAGGTGACCTCGTTCACTTTTCTAGGCAGCCAGCATCGTTTCAACTATAGACCATCAGAGCGGACGAAGATGTCAAAGCCAGCCATAATTGGAAAGGCGAGATACACCTTCATCAACCTGGAACCAATTTTTAAATCTTTTGCACTCAGCCAGCATATAGGAAACAAGACTGGGATTTTCAACACCAGTATAAAGTCACTCACTGCTTCTATATCGGTCAGAAGCTTGACTGACGCGTTACGAAAAGGATTTCCGCCAGGTTACAGACGTTTATCACCAGCTAGCTTCACTGGCTCCATACTGAAGATGAAGTGGCTGGCTGGCCATAAAGAATTACTAACAACAGACTCTCTCTGGGAATAAACCAATCAAGAGCCGATTACCCAACAAATATGTAGGAGAAAATGGAGATGGGTAAGGCACACAGACAAACTGAGGTGGCCGTCGAATGATATTGCGCTCAATGTTGGCCATCGTTCGGGTGGAATTCGAATGGGAAGAGACGAGTGGGTCCTCGGTGCGAGAGTGACATCGATGAGATTGTGTGAGGAAGAGAGGACAGAGTTTCGGCAATCGTGAAGCCAGTCAACTGAAGAGGATGGTAGAAAAGAGAACAAAGTAGAGATGTGTTGTTGAAGCTCACCTATGTTCCACTCGGAACCCAAGAGAACAATAATAAAATACGAATTACAGCCTATACTGAACAAATCAGACTAGGCATTTCTGTACAAATTACAGTAGTATTAGGGAATACTGTACTGTATGTGTGTGTCCATTAGTCAATGGTAGGATAATTATAGTTCCCTGCTGTCTGCATTAGAACATTCACTTTCATGTAGTTGTGTAGTAGCGTGATTTATTAGGTCAGTGTACATTTTCACAGTGTGCATGGGTTTCGAAGTATACTAATGTTTAATTTTCTATAGTTTGGTCTGTAAGGGTTAGTTATGTTTTACAGGTTGATCACGGATTGATATCAGTTAGAGAACCATTGAAAACCAGCCACAGGGAGTAGTGGACAGCTGCTGTTTCATCTTAGTTTGGGAATCATCGGCAGTACGCACCCACTGGGATTCGAACCCGGGACCTTCCGGTTACAAGGCAAGCTCGTATACCATTCAGCCACTGGGACCCGATTCAATGGCTTGTGAATTCTAACTTCTACTAATTCGTGATTTAGCGCGACTTCAACCACTGTAGTTGGTGGGACATCCATCCTTGGTTTGCAATGGTTCTCTAACTGATATCAATCCGTGGTCGACTCGTAAAAACATAACCAACCCTTACAAAACAAACCATAGAAAATTAATCTGATGCTCGCTAGTGACTTCCTACGGGATGGAGTTTTCTGAAGTTCTAGTGAGAAATCGTGACCAGTGAGGTCCAATTAGATGTCATGTGTGTGGTTGGATGTCCCAACAACGACAATGGTTGGGGTCGCGCTAAATCACGAATTGGTAGAAGTTAGAATTCATGAGCTGGCCACTGAATCGGGTACCAGTGGCTGAATGGTATACGAGCCAGCTTGCCTTGTAACCGGAAGGTCCTGGGTTCAAACCCTGGAGGTGGGTGTGTACTGCCGATGATTCCCGAACTAGAATGAAACAGCATCTGTCCAGTACTCCCTGTGGCTGGTTTTCAATAGTCCTCTAACTGATATCAGTCCGTGATCAACTCGTAAAAATACTGATGTTTAGTTTTCCGAATACGTGGGATTTTCTCCAAGTGTGAGAGACACCTGGACGCCTTTCATTCATTCGTTCATTTAATAATTTGTATATATCTGTTTATATATACTGTAGGGTTTGCGAGAAAGGCGCAAGAGGAATGAAACACCTGAACGTTATCACACAATCGGTCATTCATCCCATTTCCTACCTGTCAATACTATCCCTGCTAATTCACTAGCATATACTGGAGATCATCGTATAATTGAATATCCATTGCCTTCTCATATGACGTTGAATAGAAATGTCAAATCTTCAAATATGCCTAATTCACATTCCCTTGGACAGGAGATAAGTTTACTTAGAAATAATGAAGTGAACGAAGATTATCCTTCCAACCACACTAACAACCACAACAATATTGAACACAATGGCATATATCATTCAAGTCATCGTAAACACGGACGTGGTCGAAGGCATAAACAATTGGATAGTAGAAGTATGCAAGACAGTGATCAGGATAAGCTTAGTTTAGATGTCAAGTCAATGAAAAGTTCCCTATCCGATTGGTTGAGTGAGAGTAAAACTCGCAGTGAAACTGTATCATCGCATATTTCATCTGGTTTAGGCAGTTATAATGGAATCTCGACAAAACTTAGTGGGACAACAAGTAAGCTGAATTCAATTTATGAAAATTCTGGACTACAAAATGTGAAAAAAATTAATTCAGCTGATCATATTGATGCTACGGATAAACAATTTCCAGTTTATGCATCAAGTAGAAATATTAGTTCGTTGAAAAAGTCAAAAGTGAGTCGTCTGCCTTATTTTTTGTGTCACATTTATGTGTGTATATAAACCCGCACCCCGTACCCTACCCCGACACACACAATACGTTAGCTATTTACCAAACGCAAGTACTAGATATCCGAAATTGGCTAGGGTTAAAGTTTAAGCACCACTGACTACCAATGGAGTGCAACCGCACCAGTGACCTTGAAACGCTCACTGAGCAAATTAGTGAAACCTGGCAGATAATTTTGTCAACATGAACAAAATACGCTTATCAAAGTGTTAGGTTATTAAATGGGATATCTGGCAACTTTCAGCTGAGGTTTAGGAAAGATTAAGTTACGCTTTAAGCCAAGGACAAGTTAGGGTTAGATTAGGGTAATAAAGGTGACATTAGGGTTGGTTTCAGTTAGACCACAGTTAGTTTAGGGATACTTCCACGTTAGAATTAGGTTCAGGAAAGGTTAGAGTTATTGTCAAGGTTAGAAGACCTAAATAATTACATGCATAGAATGGGGTTAAATTACTCCGTTGATAGAAGAATAGAACTTGTGCACTGTGGTAGAGTAAAATTCCATTTATTTCAATAAAGTCTCACAGTGTTTGTTATACAGTAATTCTTAGTGATGACCACGTTTCGAGCACAGTTTATTGCCCAATAAATATTGCTGCATAACACCATGAGACTTTATCAAAATAAATTTTACCCACAATGGAATTATACTCTGTTGATACTCCAACCTAAATCTGGGAGCTATTTTTCTATCACATGTGAGATGAAGGTATCCTGTGTAACACTTTTATAAAGTTTTCATCCTTTTTCTTCATAAATAATTGAATTCCATACACAAAAATGCCTCCTTCACGTGATTAGTGCGTTTGAGGTCACTCCCTGATTGGTCCGTTGGTGGTGCTTAAAGTCTAACTTTGCCCTAAAAATCTCTACTTGCTGCTTCGCGTTCCAAGTCGAATAGGTTTGAACTTTGGAGTATATATCTTTTACGGATTAGTGTTGATAGCCTCAGGCCCAGCGTTCCCTATTTTCCGGGCTTATCACTGGCTAATCCGTTTAGGAGTGCGTCGACGGGGGATCGAACCCCGGACTACCTTCGTGGTTGCCAAGTATTTTGCCGTTGAATCACTAAGGCACGTTAGTGTACTGTAATGAATAACTGATCGATTAAACATGACCGGTCTAACGAGAAATGTTGCCCCTAGGATCACACGCTCAACGCTACATGTTATTAGATGGTTAGAGGCGATCGGCTACAGGAAGCCTCAATCGATCTAGGTTTCGTGCTAGTTGGTACTCACCAGTCAGCAAAGCAGTGTATCTGCAACCTTGAAGGAATTCATGAGGATTCTGAGATTCGAAACCGTGTCACGCAGTGCCACCTGCAGTCAGAGACGCTACCACTGAGGTATTCAGAATCGTGATTAACCTCCTGTAGGAGGAGTGTATCGGATATTTTAGGTTGGACACAAGTTAGTAACTAGTGTATTGTGTCTAGTCCTTTGTTTCAGGCTGAGTGAATTTTATCAGTCAGGTTTGCAATTTGGCCACCATGCCGCTAGATGGCTAGCCATCACGGTGCACTTTGAATTGTTGGTATGAGATAGTTGGCGGAAATCACCACATCCTCTCCTTGTACGGACACTATAGCGGTGTTATGAGGTTATCACTGTGTTTGTTTTTTGGTTGATGGTATTTGGCAGTGGAATCCAGAATGCATATTTCGTCTTATTTGGGAATTGTCGCCTGGATTCACTGCATTCACCAAAAGCAGAATAACAGTAAATACTTGAGGCTGTATTTGTAGAGCTATAATGTCTTCGTTGACAGACAGCAGGCAACGAGGAAACAGGCATAAGATGGACCCACACAAAAAACTTGGAGGATTTGGACTTCGCCGATGATGGCATATGTCTGATTTCCCACAAACTGGAAGATATGCAGGTGAAAAGCAAGAAGTTAGCGACAGAAGAAACATCACAGATAGGACTTCAGGTGAACATAGAGAAAACAGAGGTAATGAAGATTCATGGCCAACACCAACAGCAGCGACAACAACAACAACAGACAACAATCAGCCAGGATAAATGGGGGGAACCTGAAAGAAACAACCCCCTTTACCTACCGACCTACCTACCTGGGAAGCATCGTTTCAACTACAGGCTCACGGAACTGATGGGGATATCATCACAGTTAGGATTGGGAAAGCAAGACAGGCTTTCATTACTCTGAAGTCTGTGTGGAGGTCAACATCACTCAGCATCAAAAATAAGAACCGGATTTTCAACTCCAATGTGAAGTCAGTGCTACTTACAATATGAATCAGAGACTTGGCACGTCATAAAGAGCATTTCAGACAAACTACAAACCTTCATTAACAGTTGTCTTCGCTCAATAGTACTCAAGATCCAATGTCCGGTCAGAAATGATCAGAAACAGGGAGGTATCTCTGGAAGCGAACCAACCCAGCAGGAACCGATTGTGCAACAGATAGGCAGTAAGAAATGAAGGTAGGTGGATTGGCCATACTCTGAGGAAACAAACTATCAAGTGACCTCACTAGACAAGCGATTGCTCGAGTGGAACCCGAATGGGAAGCGTCGAGTTGGTCGTCAGTTCGAGGATGACTTGGAGGAGGTCATGTGAAGAGGAGATTAAAACATGTAGGTAGACTTGGAGCCAGGTGGAAACTCAATCCTCTGATTTCTATCTTGGTTGAGATCATAGACATGCAAGTCTCAAGAGTCACGGACTAGGATGAAACAACTCCCCAGTGCGTTTTCGTGTTCAACAATACCTTAACTGAATTTGGTTTGTGAACTACTGAAAGCCTCACAAACTCAACACTTTAAAATACAAAAGAAACAACTCCGACTGAGTTTTTTAAGAAAGTTTAAACTGTGGGTGGTGCTTACTTACGTTTCACTGAGTGACCTTTGAAATGCTGCATGATCAAAGTCAAATGAAATCAAAGGGATTTCTGGTTTCTGTCTTTTTCCAGACAATAATACTGAGATGTGGGTGACTCCGAACTAAAGCGACTTAAACAAACGACTCAGGTAAATGGAAGTATTGGCCACAATCAGCCAATCAGATCAGCCGGTTATAAATGCGCGCAAATTAGAAAAAGATTCTTTTATAGACATCGAAGTTAGTGATAAAAAGTGGTTATAAGTTGTAACTTTCTTGTATATGTCCCCAGAAAACGTAATTCCTTTTTGAAGAACTTACTGACAGTTCAAACCTATTTCTGTGCATAAATTCATCGAGATAACTAACTGTATAGAATGCCATTTTATGGCTTATTCATCGCTCTACAGCACCTACGAGCCTAAACATTTTACGACATATCTTTTCGGATAGATTTAATGTCACGAATACCTGGATATCTGGACATATATATGGGTCACCAGTGGCTGTCAACCTCTGTGAAGACATTACTCCTCCATAACTACAAGTCTCCTATAAGCAATTTGTGTATTGCGTCTATATTTCTGCCTTTTTTACTATGTTCTCATCTAATTGGTTGATCGAGGTCACTACGTCGGTTTAACTGAGTCGTTCGTTTCAGTCGTTACAGATTGCAGTTACCATTATATGTACACTTGCTAAACATTAATGCCTTATTTGAATAAGGCATTTGATGAAGTCTAGGGTAGGCGAAGTTTGAAGTCTATTGTGTTTTGTACACACAGTTTAGGCTGTATGTGATGATTAATCCAAAGTGCTTCCATCATCACCTTCAATAACCAACCTTGAATTAGAGTTATGTGATGAAATAATTGTGAGACATTCATTATTGTTTTTGTGACCTGACATTAATTAATAAGTGTTTCGGATTGGATGATGCTGGATTTCTATTCAGAATAATAGCGTTGGGATTTTCTATATGATTTAGCAGCCATTTTGGAACATGTTCCTTTTGACTACATTGGAACATTCTATTGGTTCTATCCATAAAATAAGTGTCACCGAAACTGCAGTTGAACCAATGTCCCCCTTCATAAAACTGTTGATTCCATTTGCGATTACATCACAAGCAATGAGATAAGCCTACCTTTTCCTGTAAATTACATCAGAGACATCATCTTAATGTGTTGAGAAAATATTAGATTCACCTTCCTAGAAAAGGCATACAAACAAATCGATGGTGTTGCGATGGGGAGCCGTCTTGGGCCCCTGTTAGCAGATATTTTCATGTCGAAATTGGAAAAATAAATGCAAGGTATGTTTGGAGAATTTATGCTGTATAAACGTTATGTAGATGAAACTCTCACTATTGGTAATAATAGTAAATCTATTGAAAACTTTATTACCCTATTTAATCATATGCAGCCAAATATCCGAGTGACTTCCGAACTAGATTCGAATGACACACTTGGTTTCCCGAATATTACTATGACTGGGAGAGGTGATAGAACGATTCAGCGATCTATTTTTCGTAAACAGACATGGAGTGAACAATATCTTCATTTTACCGGTTTTGTTCACATCCACTTTAAACGTTCCCCAGTAAGTGAAATGTTTGTTCTCAAGGGCCCGAAAAAATATGCAGGAGTGACACATTGATGGATGAGTTTCCAAATATACATTCAGTTTTATCAGCTAATGGTTATCCAGAGAACTTTATCACTTGTCACAGTAAAGAAAGACCACATCTGGAAAAGACAGCTTCTGTATCAAAGAAAACTATCTTTATTAACCTACCATTCAAGGGCGACCAGATTATGCAGTTAACAGCTCAGAGACTTCGGTCAGCCGTCAAACGCACATACTACGCCGAATCTCTTTTTCTCACATGCCGAACATTTCCGATCCCTACCTACGTAGCTACGATTAAAGGACGAAATTCTGTCGACTCTACTTCAAACTGTATCTACAAGTTCACCTGCAGTAGCGGTGACACTTATTTTATGGATAGAACCAATAGAATGTTCCAATGTAGTCAAAAGGAACATGTTCCAAAATGGCTGCTAAATCATATAGAAAATCCCAACACTATTAATCTGAATAGAAATCCAGCATCATCCAATCCAAAACATTTATTAATTAATGTCAGGTCACAAAATCAATAATGAATGTCTCACAATTATTTCATCACATAACTCTAATTCAAGGTTGGTTATTGAAGGTGATGATGGAAGCACTTTGGATTAATCATCACATACAGCCTAAACTGTGTGTACAAAATACAACAGACTTCAAACTTCGCTACCATGGACTGACTACATGAGCTATCTAAATATGATTGGTCATTAGTATGTACTTTTGTTTTTTATGTAACTGTGTAATTGTCATGAACTTTATTTTGTTATTGTCAACCATGTTAGTTGTAAAGCGGTTGTAAAGAAACTACGAAATGAAGATATCATCTCGCAAAGTTTGTCTTTTTAATGCCTTATTCAAATTTATCATATGGACTAACTGTTTTAATTAATGCTTTAACATTTTTTTTTAGACAAATAGTGTTTTCTGTTTTTTATTTAACTGAGTAATTGTCATAAACTTTATTATATTATTGTTAATTTTCAAGTATTGGTTTTGTAGGGATTTTTGTTTGATTATATGGTGGATTTCATTATGAGCTGACATCAGTTAGAGAACCATTGGAAAACCTGGGAATACTGGACGGCTATTTCGTCCTAGTTTGGGACTCTTCATCAGTACGGACTCATCGGGTTTCGAACCCAGAACCTTCTGGTTACAAGGCAAGCGACCTCGTAGATCAATGAGCCACTGGGACCCAATCCAATGGCCCTTCAATTCTAACTTCTGCCAGTTCGCAACATAGCGCGACCACCTCGTAATGTCTTCTTCGAAGAGTTTTTGCCCCGTCTTTGACCTGCTGTACCCTACTGGTCACGGCTTCCCACCAGAACCCCAGGTCAGTACCTGAATAGGACCAGTCGCCAGTGACATCAGATTAATTTTCGAGTATTGGTTTTGTAGGGATTTTTGTTTGATTGTATGGGGGATTTCACCATGTTAGTTGTAAAGCGGTTGTAAAGAAACTACGAAATGAAGATAACACCTGGCGAAATTTGTCTTCTTAATACCTTATTCAAATTTATCAAAGGAACTAATTGTTTTAATTAATGCCCCTTAACATTATTCCTTAGACAAATAGTCGTAAGAATTCAGCTCCATTGAACCAAGTGAATATTTTATCATATGACAAGGCATCTATGGCAACAGCACCAAATCTTACCTATTCTACATCTTGTTTAACAATGAAGAAAACCGGTGATGATTCACTCCACTCCTCCAATATCCCTTCTGATTCATTTCGAATTACTAATCATCATATCAACTCATCAGCATCCCCAGTTGACTGGTACTCAATAAATAATGCCAACATCAGTAAAGACAATAATACTGATAACGTAATGAAAAAAACAACAAGTAGACATTCCACTAAGAATTATGATTATAAAGTTCATAATAGTCAAAAATCATCATTACACCGATCCAACAGTTCAGGATGTACTCGACCAAGCCGATATCAAGCCTCTTTTAATAGTCATCAAGAAAATCCCTATCAAAGTCAATATGCTGATTATTATTTCCCGCCGAATTCAACTATCCGACATCCACAAATCCCTCCATTTGCATTTAATCATAATTACCATAATAATATTAATAATAGTGTTGAAAGTTATTCAAATAATCCACCTATGCATTATACATCACCAGATATACGAATTCCTCAAACAAATCAAACAAATATTTTATCTTCAATGAAACATTATAATTTAAATCGATCAGATTTTCAAATATTTTCATCTAATCATCAAAATTATGCAGGAATGAATGGGGATTATGAATCAGTTCGATTGACAGATATGATAATTGATGAGAATGCATTCTGTTTGTTAAACTCGGAAGAAGTAAGTTGAATGTACTAATGCTTGCGCTGCACATTTCTATATATATATATATATATATATATATATATTTTCGCCAGCTTTAGTATTTACTTATTATTACTGTTGTTATTTTAGGTTCAAAGTGGAATATAAGGCTTCGACAGCACGATTCTCCACTTTGTTCAGTTCTCTGTGGTTATCTCCCACTGGCTCCACGATTGTCCATAATCTCTGTTCTCCTCGCCAGACGGTCTCCTCCATGTCACCGTCGAAGTAACTCCCCACTCATCGTTCTACACTTGGGTTCCACTCGAAGGTAGTCAGTAATAGTTCGATCCCTTGCCAACACACCGAGTTTGAATACAGCAAGAACAACAATGGTTTGTGTAGAATAATATGGTAACATCATCGCTTATTTCGGCGGCTTATCATCAGCTGAGATGCTTACAGCCTAAATAATTTATGAGGTTTATGTACTGAAACGTTTTAACGTACTTCAAATTTTTTCATGATGTCAGTTGACAGAAAGTTATGCAGTTAGTGAACAGTGCTCAGAAAATTGCGCTTATATAGTTTCTACACAGTCAGTCCAAGTTTAAACAAAATAAGTGTACGCATACAATGGGAACGGAGTTACGTAATAAAGACGGGAGCAGGCTGCTAGCCAATTGGTAGGCATCAATGTACGTCAATGTCTAGGTCACTAATATTGGCCATGAGAAAATATGAACAAGGCTGATTCAACAACCAATCACAGCAGACTTGACGTGGGCAAATACAATCCGTAGATATATAGCTTAACTTTCTGAGAAACCAGTCACAAGCAGTATATAATAACCTTGAGGAAGAAAAAACCAATCAGAAGACTGTGTTTGTCTACTTGAATAACCTATAATAATGTACAGGAAATATATATATATATACGTCCTGATTTCCGTAATAAGACTATCTGTTGCCGGCCCTTGTCTTCTCTTCCTACGGCCACAATTATGAAACCGTTTGATATAGATGTAGCACACAAACCAGTCGAATCGCTTAATTCGATCTTATGCACACCAAAAGATCCAACAGAAAAAAGGGATAAAATTAACACCATTTACAAAATAAATTGTATGAACTGTAACAAGCATTACATTGGCCAAGGTGGGCGTCCCCTTCGAATATGAATACAAGAACACAAATCACCCGTGAAAAGACATGATATAAATTCTTTAGTATCAATGCATACAGACAATTATGGACATCAATTTGATTGGGATAATGTCAAAATCCTAGACAGAGGAATGACCGAAAGTGCAGTCAGGGAATTCCTAGAAGCCTGGTACTCAAACAAAAATGTAATTAATGAACTTGTTAACATAGACGAAATATACCAACTAATAAAAAGTAAATCAGGTGACCAGAAAGTTTAAAATCCAAGTCAATAGAAAACGGTCAATACATATGTAAAGATGGTTACCGGGAGACACAGTTATATCACTCATGAAGAAATTTAAATCATTTCACTTTATCCTAAATACTGCGCTGAAGATGTCGTCCAGAAAGACGACGAAGGCTCCGCAACTTAAGCAACCAGCTCAGAGAATACTATTAATTACAGAGATTACGTAATCAAATTTGCGTGTATCTGCAAGAGTCGTTACATCGGGAGAACAGAAAGAAGGGCACACCTACGAGTTTCTGAACATCTGCCGAAAAGCCTACATCTCAAGGGAACAAACTCTTATAATAGCTGGAAACATTTATTTCCCGATACGAATTTAAAACAAGCGATAAAGGTTAATAAGGCAGGATTTAATGAATTCATCAAATTTCAGTAGAACTCGTCAGCTGAATACTCTACATACTACATACATACTCTACATAGGTCTATTACCAGACATCTCCTCAATATGGGTCATGAGGTAGACATCGCCAAATCCTTTAAAATAATCAATAGACAAAAAGCTCAATTCTCCTCAAGTTTCCCGAAGCAGTCTTCATCAGGTGCCTGAAACTCGATTTGTGTGTTCAGAAAGAAGCAGTTATCAGTACTTCCTTGCCGTACTCTGTAACTAGAGGTCTTTATTGTCTAATTCATTTGATTGTATAATCTCTGTCCTTAACCTCACCCACTAAATCCCGCCTTGATGAAGTGTGATCTTCCTCGTCTCATGTTCCTATGATTTGAGTTGAACTCAGTACAGTATTACCTAACTTATTAGTCACACTGCATCTTACGCACCTCCCGTCTTTATTACGTAACTCCGTTCCCATTGTATGCGTACACTTATTTTGTTTAAACTTGGACTGACTGTGTAGAAACTATATAAGCGCAATTTTCTGAGCACTGTTCACTAACTGCATAACTTTCTGTCAACTGACATCATGAAAAAATTTGAAGTACGTTAAAACGTTTCAGTACATAATCCTCATAAATTATTTAGGCTGTAAGCATCTCAGTTGATGATAAGCCGCCGAAATAAGCGATGATGTTACCATATTATTCTACACAAACCATTGTTGTCTTTGCTTTATTCAAGTTCATCAATAGGGAATAAATGCATGAAGATCCGAATTTCCTCGTGATGAATGTTTGTCTTGCTTTTCTAATTCTGGGTGGCGTTGACATCCCCATCTGTAGAGTCGGTTGTCGTTAAAACGGTACTGCATGGCTAGTTAATTGAGTACCTTTTATTTTTTATTTCGTTGGGTTCGGTATGTAACGGTTTGGCTTTAAGCTTTTCAAGTTTCACAGTGGTAGTCGTGGTATTGTTTTTTTCGGGATAGGGTTGCTAGCCGAACGCCTTACCCTCTTTCTTCTTCAGACTTGCTGTCTGTTTGTGAACTGGGTGGGATTTAGTGGTGGGCTGTCCGGAAAATCTAACGTCGACTATATTTGTAACTCATAAAAGTCCTACAAATTTATCCACTGATGTCAAGATGTTCAGTAGAGTAAGCAAGTTAAATTAACAATATGGTGCAATAATTTATCTGAAGTAAACTCCAAGTGAATCACTTTCGAATGTCAAGGAAGAATATCAATTCCTTTGAGTCATTGTTTTGTAGAGCAATGTGAATTGTCGTCTTCAATGACCAACTTTCGTTTAGTGAGTTCAGTGACCTAATTCAACCTGAGAAACCCAGTCGTCATTTCAGCAGCCTTCGTGACTCGATCGTGGAACTAGGCACTTTAGAAGTCTTGTCCGGGTAACTGAGTTCCAATCATGTCAAAATTGTATTCGATAATACGGAATGACTTTGAAAACAGTTCGTTTCATCGCAATAAAATTGACTGGATTTGATTACCTATCGTGGAAAGTAGATTTTACCTATTTAGCCTATAGGCTAACTGCTATTTTTTCACTCTTTTGTATTCATACTTTCAGATTTCATAGTACTGCTGAACAGTCTGGGCAGTCATCTTTGAAGGTCTGATCACTGGTAAACCAGGTAGTGTTGGGCATCTGTTTTGTCCTAGTTTGGAACTCTGCAACAGTACACACCAACCGAGATTCGAATCCAGAGCCTTCTGGTTACAAGGCGAACTCTTATCCAATTAGTCATTAATAAATATAGTCCTGAATCTGACACAAAGCTAGTGTGTATCCGGTGACTTGATACAGGACGGTGTTCTTGGAGTCCGAGTGAGAAATTGTAACCAGTGAAGGACATCCAGTTAAGTGTGAGGATGGATTTCCAACCGATGACATTGGTTGGTGCCAGCCGCGCTAAATCATGGGCTGACCATTCAATCGAGTGGGTCCCAGTGATTGAATAGTATACGAATTAGCTTGCTTTGTAACCGGAAGGTCCTGTTTTCGAACCTTGGCGGTAGGTGTGTACTGTTGATTATTCCCAAGCCAGGGTCAAACAGCCATCTAGTACTCCCTGTGGCTGGTTTTCATTAGTTCTCTAACTGATCTCAATCCGTCGTCAAACTCGTAAAAGGTTTTCTGTTATTCTATGTTAAAATGTATCCACTGCATAACTGGCCATTATTGTAACGAAAAAACAATTATTATGATTTCTAGTCCTACCTAGTGAGACTTTTGGGAAGAGTTGTGAATAAAGAGGGTGTGGAGAACCAGATAGTATGGATTTAGCCCATCTCTGCAATGATTTCATTTGTCTGTCAACTACAGTAGCAACGATCTGACTTAGCGACCCATTACTTGGCCTACTGACGACCTCTAACACTCTTCACAATACAACATAAACCTCTTTGAGTGGCCCAGGAAACTCTAAAGGCGAGGAGCAGGTAATTACTGACTATCTAAACTTCTTAATGTAGGGAGTTAAACGTAACATCTTCTTAGAAATCAAGAAAATATAGGGTGACTAAGAGATGTTAGAGGATATAACTGTTCCATGATATTTATTGCTTGACCTAGCTTCTATTTCACTTTCTATGTTACATGCATCTTGTGTGCGGATCAGTTCACGTAGATCACTTTTATGTCTGGGAATGAAGTTAACAGTCTAACATTTAAAGGCGTTTAACGTAAGAGCACTTAGCTTGGACTACTATCTTATGTCCAACAAAAAGCTACTAGGTTTGGGACAGTCATATCAAGATGCGACTGGCATTGAGACAGTCAGATCATCAGCATATTTAAAGGAGTTGATTTTTTCCAAAAGAGGAAAGTTATGCAAAAGGAAATAAAAAACAACAAGTGAGAGAAGATCAACTTAAGGGACTCCAGTTTCAGTAAGCAAAGCGGAGAAACATTTGCCTTTTATATTCAATATGCTGTATTCTATTAGAGAAATAAGAATGCAATACGCGTTGAAGACATGAAAAGGTTGACTGCTTTCGATCATAGATGTCTGTGATCTCTGTCTCACGTTAGGTGGTTTCACAAGGTAAGTAATGTTGACGTTAGGCGTAGAGTGTTGGGCAAAGAGAGGAAATCAATCGACGAGGCTATAAAGTTACATAGACTAAGATGGCTAGGTCACGTGCTGCGCATGCCTAACCACCGCCTCCCCCGACGGGCTTTGCTAGCTGATATAGGTTCAGGTTGGAAAAGAGCCAGTGG